CAATACCATGCTGTTTTGATTACCACAGCTTTGTAGTATATTTGGGTCAGGGAGTGAAATGTCGCCCACTCCACTCTTCTATTGTAGAATTACTTAGGCAATGCTGGTTCCTTTATTATTCCAGACAAATTTTATGATTGTCTTTTCTAAATCTGTGAAGAACGTGTCTGGTACTAAGATTGGCATTGCATTAAATAGGTAGATTAATTTAGGTAGAATTGCCATTTTGGTTATATTAATTCTTCCAGTCCAGGAACATGGGAAGTCCTTCCACTTTTTTGTGTCATTTTCAATTTCTTTTTTTAGCTTCTCATAGTTTTCCTTGTGGAGGTCTTTAATTTCTTTGGTTAGATTTATCCCTATGTATCTTATACTTTTAGTGGCTATGGTAAATGGAACAACATTTTTCAGTTCTATCTCTGTCTGCCTGTTTGTATATAGAAATGCTATAGATTTCTGATATTAATTTTGTATCCTGCAACTTTACTATATTCGTGCATTACTTCCAGAAATTTCTTCATGGAAATCATTGGGTCTTCTATGTACACAATCATGTCATCTGCAAATAGAGAGTTTCACCTCTTCTTTTCCTATTTGGATGCCTTTAATTTTTTCCTCTTTTCTGATTGTGTTGGCCAGGACTTCCAGTACTATATTGAAAAGGAGTGGAGAAAGTGGGCATCCTTGTCTTGTCCCCGTTTTTAGTGGAAAAGCTTTCAGCTTTTCTCCATTCAGGATGATATTCACGGTGGGGTTTTTCATAGATAGCTTTTATTGTGTTGAGAAATGACCCTTCTTGTTAGCACCAAGTATGTCAGCTGAAGAGGTGGCTGGTTAGAGAGGCACAAAAGCTCAAGAGAATTTTAGTTTTCATGGTAAAGCCATATGTTTCTGCCTCCAGTGGAAGGAATATGTGAATCTTTTTCAAGTGGAATTCACCGAAACCACAAGTCAGTTTCTCTGTGACTTTTCAAAACAATATGTTCAGTTCACTGATGCTCAGTACATCATGGTTATTCAATGCAACTGAGCAAACGATTCAAATATGATAAAGGAAATGAGGCCTAACCAGAGTCAAAGGCTCCCTTTCTAGAACACTGTCAATTTGGAAGGCCTGGAAGGAGAGCCATCGTCAGAACTCTGTTCCCTGAAAGTTTCGGAACAAATTTTAGACTGTGTTCTGATTATACTACAACCATTGAACAATAGTGTAACAAAGAATGAGTTTTGATGTATTTTTGATTACTTCTGAGATAATAGTTCTCTTTTTATTTATTTATTTATTTTTAATTTCTAGTATTTTGAGTACCTGGCATGCTTCTTAGGCTACAGGGTCCGGGACTCAAGCTGTGTGGTTGGATGTGTGGGATCCAGTAACCTTTAGAGGATTCTGAAACAGATAAATGACATTAATGCAAAAATTCAAATAAGTCCTATGGTTTAGTTAATGTAGTTTAGTAATTTGTTTGGGTTACCCTATCAGATTAAAAATACAGCCAGCTGAGGTATTTGCTGAAGATAAAGGGAATACAAATAGGTAGGTAAAAATTGTATTTATAAATACCAGCTATGATCACGTAATCAATTATAGAAGTTAGGACTATATTTGTCATGATAATTTCCTCCATATTTTGTTAAAAATATGTTTGTGTGTAAATACACAGATATTTAGCAAATATGCCTTTTCTCTTTCATTACCTTATCCTATAACATAAGATTTATTGACTTTATATTAATATAGATATTTTACATCAGTAATTAAATTCGGCATTAGTATATTTTGTTTGTTCACAGGATGGCTGCATCACCTTAAGTAGAGTCGTATGACTTGTTATTGTCTTCATTTGGATATTAAGTATGGTTTTAGGAGATGCTTACCGGTGCCTAATTGACAACAGATAGATTTGTGATCCATCCATTAATTTTGTTTGTCAATTTGACTGGATTGAAGGATGCCTATAAAGCTTACATTATGGAACATTGTTTCTAAGTGTGTTTTTGAGAGTGTTACCTGATAAGGTTGGCATGTGAGTAGTGGGCTGAGAGAGGCACTCACTTTCAATGTTGGCAGGCACCACCCAATAAGCTAGGAACATTCAGTTCTCAGGACCATGTGATTCAGCAATCTTACTATGTGTACATGTCAAAATATGAAAATTTAAGTTCACATGAAATCTTAACTTTTTATCAAGGTCATCTTGATAGCATTGGCAGCTAGGACTGGAGAAACAAGATTAAGAGACCACTTAATCTAGGTGAGAACTGACGGTGGCTAGAAAATCTATTCAAATAGTTAAATAATGTAAATATGTAACTTAGATAAAAAATGAAAAACATATAGAGATAATATCAACAATTCTTATTAACTTGTCATAAATGGTTCACCTATACTGGAAATCATCGCATACCTCTTATTTGTTTTTTTTTCGGCTACTCAGAAAATTCTGATAAATGACAATGTGCTCTATAGTCTTTTTGACTCACTTGATTTGTTTGTTGAAGTTACTGAGACAAATATAAATGAAATACATTTTTTAAAATATTCTTGAGAAAAATATACTTAAATATTTGTGATACTTAAAGTTACTTTTTGTTTTTGTTTTTTCCCCAAGTTATATCAGCAATAGTTATTGCATGGACATGTGATAATAGACAACTAGAATCAGAGATGTAATGGCATGGTATTAGGCTTTCTTGTGAACCAAATATCCAGTCAAGACATGAGTCTGAGCACACTTCCTACTTTCTTTCTTACTTTTTTTTTTTTTAATTTTTCAGAAGGCATGCGTGCTCACCAGGAATAGAGAAACATAGACATAAAGGGAGAAAGCACCCTCTCTGCAAGGGCATGGTTACACCACAGTACCTTTTCCTCTATTTCTCTATCCTATTGCTATTTGCAGAGTGCATATACACACAATAGGCATGTTTTTCAAGCCTCTGTGTCCCTCCAGCCAAAAAGACTCCAATTCAGAATCCAAATATTACAGAATTTGGTGCAAGATTAAACTGTAGTGAGTCATGTGGGATCTAACTCCCTTAACCAAAAAGCCATGGGACCAACCCTTTGTCTTCTCATTTCCCCTAATTCTTCTTTATGAAACTTTCTATCTCAGGATTGCAAGACAAAGGCCCCTCTGTAGAGAAGAGATTGAGTTTCCTCTATAATCTAATAACAGAAAGGTGAAAGATGATAAACTCATGAGTTTTTTTTTTTATAAAATTATTCAGTTCTTAAAAGACAATAGGGGTGTGTTGTGATAAAATATGATTACAGAGTGAGTAGTTGCCACTGAAACAAATGTATTCACACATGTCTACCATCTCATCTATGCTGTAAAAAGACCTATTTAAGAATCACATGTTTAAAACATACTGAAGGACAGTCAGTGGCATGGTGGTTAAGGTGGCTAGATCCCACATGGCCAACTACATGGTTCAAGTCCTGAACCTGGTGGCTTGAAAAACATATCAGATACATGTGTGTGGATGCCCAAAATCCTGAAAGGAGAAATGGAGGCAAAGAGATTGAGGTGTGATCACCTCTATAGGGAGTGCTTTCTCACTTTCTCTCTCTCTCTCTATTTATATCTCTCTCCAGTGAGCACACATGCCCTCTGGCAATATTAAAATGAAAAATGAATAATAAAAAAGATCTATATATTCCTAATACCATGCTGACCTTTGCCTGTGATTAGTCACAAAATGACCCTTCTTCCTTGCTCCCATCATGTACCAACCCAAAGGACAGCACAGGACTACCTGGGGAAGGGCTAGGCCAGAAAGTGTTTAGAATTTTGGGGTTAAGAGAACCAAAGGAAAAGAGTAGAATGTAGAAGTGAAGGTAGTAATATGGGGTCAGGATGCATAGGGCCCAATAAGCCATTTTTAGAATTTAAGTCTTACATGGAGTGAAATGGGAATCATGATAGCAGTTGTAGGACAGACGGTGCGGCATGACCAGACTCACAATGTCTTGATTACACTGGCTGTTGCATTAGAATTGGCTAAAGAAGGTGCAGTGGTAGTAGGCAGACCAGTTTAGAGAATATCAGAAGAGTAATCTATGGAAGGGAGACATGGTGAGGGCTGCTGAGGTTGTAGCAGGGAAAAGTATAAAATACAGATAGTTTGTGGATGTCATTAAAGGAGTTCCAGTTTGATTTTCTATTTGTAACGAGACATGAAATCAGGAAAAGAGTTAAGAATGACTTCAGAATTTTTGTCCTGAGCATCTGAAGGAATGATTTTATATAGGAAATGACAATTTTTAAACCTAAGAAAGAGCAAGAGCCACCTAAAGAAATGGGTGAAAGTCCAATGTTCTCAGATGTGAATAATCTAGGAGGACCAGCTTATGAGCCATACTTCTTAAACTGGGGTACTGATGTCCCTTAAAGCCCACAGACATGGGAAAGGAAGTACCTGAAGTCACCAGATAAATTTGCAAGTCTTTCTTTTACATTCATTTTACTCAAATAGTAAATTATTACATAACCTTCCAACAAAGAAAAGCCCCTGGCCCTGATAGCTTCAGCTCTGAGTTCTATAAAACTTTCAAAGAAGACTTAACCCCCATTCTTCTCAAGTTATTTCTAAAGATCCAAAAGGGTGAATCTCTCCCTACTTCATTCTATGAAGTCTCCATCACCCTTATCCTCAAAACAGATAAGGACAGGACAAGGAAGGAAAACTATAGACCAATATCTCTGATGAATATAGACTCAAGGATTCTCAACAAGATACTAGCAAACCGTATCCAACAACTTATAAAAAAGATTATACATCATGATCAGGTAGGCTTTATTCCAGGAATGCAAGGTTGGTTCAACATATGCAAAACCATAAATGTAATACACCATATTAACAGGAAAAGAGACAAACAACATATGGTCATATCGATTGATGCAGAAAAAGCATTTGATAAGATACAACATCCCTTTATGTTCAAGACGCTCAGCAAAATCAGCATACAAGGGTCATTTCTCAATACAATAAAAGCTATCTATGAAAAAAACCATCGCAAATACATCATCCTGAATGGAGAAAAGCTGAAAGCTTTCCCACTAAAAACAGAGACAAGACAAGGATGCCCACTTTCTCCACTCCTTTTCAATATAGTACTGGAAGTCCTCACCAACGCAATCAGAAAAGAGGAAAAAATTAAAGGCATCCAAATAGGAAAAGAAGAGGTGAAACTCTCTCTATTCACAGATGACATGATTTTGTACATAGAAGACCCAATGATTTCCATGAAGAAATTTCTGGAAGTAATGCACGAATACAGTAAAGTTGTGCTTCATGTATTCTCTATCAATCATATGATTTGCAAATTTTTTCCAAAATATATTTTTTCTTGGCAGTGTTTTTCAAAATGAAGTTTTAAAGTTTTATTACATCTAGTTTATTTATTTGTCTTTTATTAGATCATGTTTTTGGTATTGTATCTAAGACATATTTGCCTAATCCAAAGACACAAAAATGTTTTCAATGCTTCCTTTTTAAAGTTTTGCAGTATAGATTCTACCGTTAGATCAACTGTCCATTCTGAGCTAATGTTTATAATGATGTGACCTATGGATCAAGTTCTCTATTTTACATATGATAAACAATTGTTTTCAGTAGTATTTGTTGAAATGACCACCTTTTCTCTTCTGAAATCCTATTGCAACTTTGTTAAAAATCAATTTGCAGGGCCAGCAGGTGGTGTGGTGGTTAAGGTGCTTTGGATTCCCACAGAGCAAACCACAGTTTGAGTCCCAGACCTGAGAGCTTGAACATCACACTGGGCACATGTGCGTGTGTGTCCAAAATCTCAAGAGAAGAATGGAAGAGATGCAGCATGGCTATCCCTCCCAGAGGAATGATCTCTCATTTTCCTTCTCTCTACCTCTCTCCATCTCACTCTGCAAGCACATATTCCATACTGCAAAAATAAAAAATAAAAAATAAATTTTCAGGGCCAGAGGGTGGTGTGGTGAAGGTGGCATGGAAGAAGGAATACAACTTCCTATTTAAATTTGAGCTTACCAAGTTTACTTGATATCAACATTTTTGTAATTTATTTTTTATCAGTTTCTTTCATGGAGAGAGAGAGAGAGAGAAAGTGAGAGGGAGGTAATCGTGACATGCTGCAAGCCTTTCTTACCTTCCCAGCTAGCCAGGATCTCAGTTATGTGCAGTTGCATCCAGCATGTTCAGGTCAACCAGGGGTCAATCCTGGGACCTCCACATGGCTCCTGCTGACACAGCAGGACCCCACCAACTATGCCACTGTGGTTGGTTGATACTAATTCTTGATAGACTAAATTCAATGAACAACAGAAATCTACCTGTCACATCAATTTAATGTATTACTAACCTGGACTTAAACTTGAAAATGTAAAATCTCCTATACTTAAATTATGGAAAATAGTGAATGTGATTGATTATGTTAAAATTGGCAGTAGCACAGATGAGGTTGCCAAGGCTTTATTGGCTACAGGGCTATGTGTAATGATGTTCCCCATGTCTCCATAGAGACAAGGCAACTTGAATATTTTGATCATTTTGATTTGTGTTTTAAAATAAAAACATTAGTTAATTAATATTGACTATTGTCAATGTCAGCCACTCTCCTGGCATTTTCTTATTAAAATTTAAAGTGCAAATAATTCAAAAGATAGTTGTTAATATAATCCTCTTTTAAAAATTTTATTGTTTTTAAAGAGATTTTTGTTATAGGGTATATGTGCTTGCTGGAAAGACAGAGAGAGACAAAGAGACAGAAAGCAAGAAATCATTTCCCAGTGAGGATGGCCATGCTGCAATTCCTTCTCATTCATTCTCTTCTCGAGATTTTAGACATACACGCACGTGTTCTTGGTGTAAGTTTTAAGCCACTGGGTCTGGGACTCGAACCATAGTCGATTATGTGGGAGTCCAGGGACATAACTGTTACATCATCTGTTGGTTCTCTTAATCCTCATTTTAATAACAAATAAAATGAGGCAGAGTTGGGCAATGTGACTAGAAGGGATAGGCTGAAGTTTGAATCCAAGTAGTTCATGTCAGAACTGAAGCTCTTAACCATTTGCCATGTTTAATTTTCACTTTTAGAACTCTGATTTTTCTAGTTTTTTAATTGAGCTTTATGAATACTTCTTAGAAGTATTAACTTCTAACCACTTATACTATGCAGGGGAAATACAAAATGTGGAAGTACTTAACAGTGGTGTGTTTGGTATTTATATATGGAAGGATATGTGATTCCATTGGCTATCATAGATCTTTGAACCCTGAAGCCTACCTGACTACTGTAAGTTATTACCTCAGTAAAGTATAGGTCATTATTGCATGACAAAACAAACACATTTTTGCTATAATGTAACAGCCACTTTAGTAAAATATCAAAATACAGTTGTTGAAATTTTTGAAAGTACAGTTCAGGTAAGTTTTACTTTTTCTCCACTTTAGAGTGAGATAATTTCCTACTGGAATTATCCAAGTGAAGAATATGATGTTGTGACTGATGATGGCTATATCTTGGGAGTCAACAGGATTCCTCACGGGAAAATAAAAATCTAATAATTCAGGTAGGTGTCACCAAAAATGCTATTTGAACTAAAATATTCATCCTCTGGAAAGAGAAAAGCATAGCTGACTCATACTGGTCTTTCACTATGCAGATGGGAACCAGCAGTTAGCGTAATGGCTATGTCGCTGGACTCCCACGTAGTCGACCGTGGTTCGTGTCCCGGACCCAGTGGCTTAAAACTCACGCTGGGCGCATGTGTGTGCGTGCCCAAGAGCCCGAGAGGAGAATGGAGGAGAAGGGATTGTGGCGTGACCATCCCCCCTGGGGGGTGATATCTCGCTTTCTGTCTCTATGTTTCTCTCTGTCTGTCTGGTGAGCGCATGCGCCCTATAGCGAAAACCTCCCCAAAAAAAAAAAAAAAGAAAGAAAAAGAAAAAAATATGCAGATGAAACATTCTTCTCATTAGGAAAAGACCCAGGGCCATGTCCCATTCTCCCCAAGTCTGGCCAGAGTACCCTACTTGTGTTCTTCTATGAAAGCCTATACATGTATCTGTCCCCAAGAGTTTTTACTAATGTGCCTATATTAAGTCATGATTCTCCAGAGAAATAGAACCAACACTATATATAGGGAAAAAAAATTACTCTGAGGAATTGGCTCATACAATAAGAATGTTGAAAATTCTCATTGATCTGCTCGCTGAAACTGGAGACCTGGGAAAGCTGGTGGTCTAATTATACTCAAGCCTGAAGCCTGAGAACCAGAAATGCTGATGGTGTGTGAATGCCAGGGTAGACATGGGAGAAAACCAATGTTCCAGCTCATTGCACAGGCACAAAACAAAAGAGGTGAATTCCTCCTTCTTATCTACCTTCTTGTTCTAGTTGAGGCCTCAGCAGATTAGACGAGGCTCACCCACTTAGGGAGGGCAATCTGCCTCACTGCTCCACCAATTCAAATGTTAACCTTACCTAGAAACACCTTCACAGACTCACCCATAAATAATGTTTAATCTGGGCAACCTGTGGGCTGTCAGCTTGACACACAAAGCCCCGGACCCAGCGGCTTGAAAATCGTTAGGTGTGTGTGCCTGCTTGTCCAAAATCCTAAGAGGAGAATGGAGGGGAAGGGATAGCTGTATGGTCATCATCTCCCAAAAGGAGAGGTAATTTCTCACTTTCCCTCACTCTATCTCTCTCCAGTGAGTACATATATCCTATGGCAAACAACAACAACAAACAAACAAACAAACAAAAACCCTAAAAAACCCTAAAACAAACAAACAAAAACTTAACCATCTTTGTCCCCTTAATAGACACGAAAATTGACATATAATTGAATGTATGTTAAGGATATTATACAAGTTTTTCATTATCTTAACAGTTGGAAAAATATACCCCATACATATTAAAACTATCAGCATTTAAAGTAAGACTAGCAACCTTTTCAATGTAGCTAATGGAATATAAAAATCTTATTTATATTCATTTAACTGATACACAATCACCTATTGATATAGGCTACACATGAACTATGGTTCGTTTCAACTACAGTAAGTTTTTTTAAGGATTATTTTATTTCATTTATTATTTTTATTAATTATTGTTTTTATTTTTTATAAGTTTTTGCCTGAGGGTGTATGCACTTGCCAGAGACAGAGACAGTGAGAGGGAAAGTGAGAAATCACCCCTGGGGTGATGGCCATGCCACAATCTCTTCTCCATTTTCTTCCCAGGATCTTGGGCACATGCCCAGCATGAATTTGAAGCCACTGAGACTTGAATTGTGGTCGGCCATGTGGGAGTCCAGCGACGTAAACATTGTGCCATCTGCTGGCCCCTATTATTATTTTTAATTTGCTATAGGGCATGTGTAGTCACAAGAGAGGGAGAGTGGGGAAAGAGAAAGCAAGCCTACTGATCGAGGTCTCCAACAAGAGTTGGCTATGTAAGAGTCCAGGGTCTTAACCACCATGCCACCTGCTGGCCCCGCTATAGTAAGTTTTATATTGTTGTATTCTATCCTTTACTTTTTTAATGTATTTTATCACTCCAGGGTTTTTAATTGCTTGCTCTATGTATCTCCTTGAAACAAAATATAAATGTAAATTAAAACTGACATTCAATTTACTATGGTCATAAAGTTAGAGTTTTTAAATGTCTGAAATAAATTGTAATTATATTGATCATTTATGTACATTTGATCAAAATGAGTTATGATATTTATTCTTTTATTCTTAGTAAGTTTATACAATATAACAGATATGTGTTATTATACATTATAAAATGTACTATAATATTCAAATTATTTTCATATCATTTAATAATTATAATAATTATATTTAAATAGATATAACATATTTGATAACTATATTATAAATTAAATGTTTAATTTTATATATCATATAATTTTATCATATGTATCATTGTATAAACTTTATAAATAATTACTAAAGACCATGGAAAAGCCTCTCACTGAAATACTGAAGATTTCTTTAATTAACTAATTATTTTGTGTGGGCATGTATTTTATGGCTTGAAGGCAATAGTGTTTAGGGGAAATAAACAGTAAAAGAAGAAAACATATTGAGCCATTAGGTTTACAAAGTTTTACAAAGATATATATATATATATTTATATATATACTTATATATATATTTTTTTTTTGAGAGGTTTTCGCTACAGGGCGCGTGCGCTCGCCAGACAGACAGAGAGAGACAGAGAAACAGAAAGCGAGAAATCACCCCTCAGGGGGGATGGTCACGCCGCAATCCCTTCTCCTCCATTCTCCTCTCGGGATCTTGGGCACGCACGCACACGCTCCCGGCGTGTTTTAAGCCACTGGATCCGGGACTCGAACCGCGGTCGACTACGTGGGAGTCCAGTGACATAGCCATTACGCCAACTGCTGGTTCCCAAGATATATATATATTTAGAGAGATTTTTGCTATATGACGCATGTGCTCACAAGAGAAACAGAGACAGAAAGTGAGAAATCACCCCCGAGGGGGGATGGCAACACAGTATTCCTTTCTCCTCTATTCTCCTCTCCGGATTTTGGGCATGAATGTACGTGCACCCAGCACATTTTAAGCCACTGGATCTAGGACTTGAACAGTGGTCAATGACATGGAAGTCTAGTGACGTAATCATTACAATAGCCACTGGTCCCAATATATTAATTTTTTAAAGTCAGCTATTCCTAACAAAATATACATCTTTTTGCTGTGAATCTAATAAATATTTGATAGAGATTATTTAAAAAAAAAACCAGAAAAGTGACAAATGACAATAAGTAGAATACATATACCCAAGTAAAACACAAATATACTATTGCAGTATACAATTTTATTTTTATTTTTTAACACAAAGCATGTGCATTTTCCAGAAAGAGAGCAAGCACCTCCAGTGGGGTGTGGTCAAGCTACAATATCCTCTTCTCCACTTCTCCATTCCACAGGATTTGGGGCACACATGCACATCCCTCTGGCATGGTTTTCAAGGTAGTGGGGTGGACATTTGAAGTGTGTCAACCATGCAATAGGTGAGATCCTAATGCACAGCACTTACTCTTGGGCTATGGAGCCAGACTCCCATTACCTTTTGTCAACAGTTACAGAAAATGTTTTCTTGTAAGTCAGAATAAACATTGAAGAAAGTATAAACCCTAACTCACATCTGATCTATATTCTATTCAAATATAAAATGTCAATCTTTTGGAAGTAAAATCAGAACTTTTTACTGATTGCGTCTTAAAATCATTCTAAAAACGTACATGCAGCACAAGCCAAGTCATAGTTGGAACAGCTACAACTACTTATTATTATTTTTTATTTTTTTATTTTGTGGTAAGGCACATGTGCTAACAAAGAGGGTAAGTGGAAGATCACTTCCCCAGGGGGTCGGCTGTGTTGCAATACCTCTCCGTTCTCCTAGGGGCAGACTTACACGCACACGCACCCACCATGTTTTTCACGTCACTGGTCTGGGACTCAAACTGGACAGCATGTAGCTGCTTTAACCACCACACCACTGATTGGCTCACAGATCACCTTTCAAATTATGTATATTTATATAAGGGATTATTTATCCAAATCTTAAGAGGCTATCATTTTATTCACATTTCATTACTGGTTAGATTGAATGGTAAACCAATACTTTACATTGTCTATTCCCTTTAGAATAAAATGTGAAACATGAGATCAAAGTTTTCTAAGAAAAGTGTTGTGAGGGCACTGTTCCATTTCTCTTCATTTCCTTTTCAGCCTTTCGTCCTGCTGTGCTTTTAATGCATGGGTTGTTTTTGTCTGCCACTTGCTGGGTTTCCAACCTGCCCAACAACAGCCTGGCTTTTATTCTGGCAGATGCTGGATATGATGTGTGGATGGGGAATTTCAGAGGAAACACATATTTTCGAAAGCACATACACCTATCACCAGAGTCAAAAGAATTCTGGAGTTTCAGGTAGAATAATTGGAATAATATTTCATTTTGTGTTATACACTTGGTTTCCATTTTTTCATTTTTTTTCTATTTTAGTATAAACATATTTCTCTTTCTTTCTTTCTTTCTTTTTTTTTTTTTTTTGGAGAGGTTTTTGCTATAGGGCACATGCGCTTGCCAGAAAGACAGAAAGCAAGAAATCACCCCCCCCAGGGAGGATGGCCACACCACAATCCCTTTTCTTCCATTCTCCTTTCAGAATTTGGGCATGCACGCACATGCGCCTGGAGTGAGTTTAAGCCACCAGGTCTGGGACTCAAACCGTGGTTGACTACATGGGAGTCCAGTGACATAGACATTACGCCTACTGCTGGTCCCAAGAGATATTTCAACAGTAATGATTTTATTAAAATTGACCAAAAATATTTTGATTTAATTGACTATCAAATTCTAATAAATATATCAATAAATAAAATGTAACATGATCTAAATCTTTAGTATTGCTTTCAGATAGAACTTTAAGGTCTTAGGAGATCAATATAGAAATATACAAAGAATCTGTAGGCTTATTTAGATTTTCTTAAATTTTGGAAAAAGTAATATATTTGCATATTTTTCGAAGTACTGAGAATAAAAGGTAAACTCAAGTTTGACTCTTTTTGCCTTAAATTCTTATAGTTTTGATGAAATGGCCAAATATGACCTTCCAGCTTTAATCAACTTTGTTGTAAAGAAGACTGGACAGGAACAGATATATTATGTGGGACATTCTCAAGGCACCGTTACTGGTATGTTTAGATTAACTCCTGTCTCACAATCTGCAACTCTTTGATCTTTGTGGTAACCTTCCCCATCACCTGAATTATTTAAGTTTATGATAGAGACAAGGATACTAGTTCAGGGGTGTCAATAGAGTGGAGACTGGGACAATGGAATATCGGTTGATCTGACATTTCAAATAAAATCTAGTTTTGATGAATAAAAAAGGGCCAGGCCTCAAATATATATGAATAAAAATTTTAACTTAGAGTTGTTTAGGATATCAACATGAATAGTTAACTGTGGGGGAACAGTTAAGTTATTTAATGTAATAACCGGTGAATCATCTAAATCATTATTATAAAAACCAACATGATTTATTTTGGACGAAAAGTAGAGTACAAAGAAACATTCTCATCACAATCGATATCTATGTATAAGTTTTCCGGACTTAAATTTCTTATGTAGCCTTTACGTATTCACATAGAAAAACGTTTCTCCTTATTAATAGCACAAAAAAACTCTTTGTTAACAGTTTCTCTATATTATTTCAGGATTCATAGCATTTTCTAACTTTCCAGAGGTGGCTCAACGAATCAAAGTCTTTTTTGCACTAGCTCCAGTCTTTTACCTTACGCAATCAGAAGGCCCTATTGAAATAATTTCACAATTACCCGCAATATTATATCAGGTATGCATACCTTCTCTCTCATTAAAATTGTTGAGAACACATGTAAGCTATATATCTACCACTTTGCAACTCTGTCAGCAAGAGGGACTTGAATTATTAAGAAAGGATAAAGAGTAGGGATATGAAATAGAATCACTCTATTCAAGAGACTAGAGTTTCAACACCAACTTTGCTGATAACTGGCCACTTGACCTCAAAAAAGTTGCCTAATCAATTCTAGCTTCAGGGTTTTTTAAAACCTATAAACCAGAGATTTATTTGAACTGATCTAGCTCTATTATTCTTGCATGCAATAATTTAGATGATTGCCTCCTTATTGGAATATTCTTAAAATAAACTTACACAATCTCATTTCTATTTTAAAAATAGTTGCTTTAGTTAGACTTCAAGAACAATTATTAGAGAAGTTTCTCTAAATGTGAAAAAATGTAAATAGCAATTTAAGATTTTGCATTACAAGTGTCCAAGTAGGTCAGCTTGTCTGATATTAAAGAGCCTACGGGGACCAGCAGATGGTGTGATGGTTATGTCACGGGACTCCCGTGTAGTCCATCGTGGTTTGAGTCCCAGACTGGCAGCTTAAAACTCATGTGGTGAGTGTGTGTGTGCCCAAAATCCTGAGAGGAGAATGTAGGAGACTGGATTGCCTTGTGCCCATCCCCCCGGAGGGGATGATTTCTCGCTTTTTGCCTCTCTTGTCTTTCTCTGTCTCTCTGGCAAACACACATGCCCTAGAGGAAAAATTTCGCTAAAAAAATATAGAAGCTACTTTCTTTTTCATGTAAGTGTCAAAACCAAAAAGCAACAAGAGTGTAAAAACAATTTTACTCTTTGAATTTTGCTTTTCAAGAAATACAGCTTTATTTTATCTTTTTAAAAAATCACATTGTGTTAAGTTTTCAAAATCAATTATACACAAAAATTTAAAATAATTGAAAACATGAAAAAATTAACCTGTATCCAAAATCCACAGTTTTTAACAAATTAATACTGCAGAGTCAAACATGAAACACAAAATCCCATAGCTTATAGTTCTATAGCAAAAAAATGATTAAATATAATTAGTGGTCCTAAAATCCCATAAATTAGAAATTGTGTGTCGTGTCAACTCAGGAAAGGCTATTCAGCATATAATGAACTGAAAAAAAATAATATAAACACTATTCCTTGCTAAAATGTATTTTAAGTTTCAATTCCAGATATCAGGAATGTAATTTCATAGTGTGAGTTTTAGATTAAATTTACCCACAATATTTTATCTCAGATGAAGGAAGAAAGAATTTCCTGCTGTTGTAGCACCATATGAATGCATGAGTATGTGTGTGTGTGTTTATGTGTGTGTGTGTGTGTGTATACACAGTCTGTTAAACTGAATAAATTGAATAAGCAGGTGGTCATTTGCCTCAGGCTATCTTCTTTTGAGTTTCTACGTAATGAGCAGCAACTTTATTCAGTATATAAACAAATTGAGTCCTAATTTGGGATATAACAGCCACATTTCTGCCCATCACATGCAGCTTGGTGTCAGTCAATCACAGGCAGCCAACTCTTTGTACCATGCCCAAATAAGGCAAATGCCCATTTGTAGCCAATAAGATGATTTTACTTTTCTTGTGTCTTATCTATGAAAACTCACAGCCCACATTTGTGTGCGGACCTCTCTGAACCTCTTCAATTCTGAGTGCTGCCTAGTACTATGCTCAAATAAACTTGGCTAAATTTGACTTCTCTAAAATTTTTCTTTTAACAGTTCATACAACAAATGTTTTCAAACTTTATTTCGTAGATCTTATTTCCTGACCAGGAAGTCTTGCCACACACCATTTTAAGTAATATTGTTGCTGCAATTATTTGTAAACATCACATTTTGGATGTTATTTGTGGCAAAATGAACTTTGCTTTGTTTGGATTTAACCCAAAAAATGTAAACATGGTATGTATACATAGTAGGATTATTATCCCAAAAGCTTCTCACATAACGTGATAACTTGGAAAATATTGTCAATTTTTTGAATTTTATCCCAGAAATTAATCATATATCAAAGCCTTTGCTGGCCTTCAAGCAACTAGTGGGTCATTGCTATTATTTGGGTAATGGTTTGTCCTCCAAAGGTTCAACTTTGGGATTTGGTTCTCAGTGTAACGGCGTTGAGAGGTGAAAACTAGTAGAAGGTGACAAGATCATAGGATTCAAGAAGTGAGGTGGTGGGTGGTGATTTGATTGCACAGTCATCACTGTTATCCTATCTTGCAAGACTCAGTGAATTCTAGCTCTTGTGAGAAGGAATTAGTCATTGAGAATGGATTATTATAAAAAGAAGATGGCTGTCCTCGGGTCTCTCTCTGCATGTGCCCACCATCCTCACTGCTTCTGTCAGCCATTTTGTGAATTAGGCTGTGTGATGCCAGTCCTATGACTTTGGAATTTCCAGCCTCCAGAAACATGACCCAAATTAACCTCCATATTCTTATTTATGTTAGCAATGCAATCATGGACTAAGATCATTTATAAATGAAACAAACTACTAAAAATATACAATTGCTATGAAATTATATGAAAATTTGTGCATGAAAAAATATGTTCTTAATGTATGCTCACTGAAAATCAATGGTACTGGGCTGACCCTACAGTGCAAGTGGTTAACCACTGTGCATTAGGAACCAGAACTCACATGGTTGATCATGATTCAAATCCTGGCCACAGTGGCTTGACAAACATGCCAGGGATACGTGCATGATGGGTTGCAAGCCCAGATGGGTTAGACAAATAAAGGAGATGGGATTGCAGCATGATGAAGTCCCATTGGGAGATTCTTTCTCATTCTATCTCTCTTATTCTTTCTCTTTCTGGTGAGTATGTGTTATTTCTGGCAATAAAAAATTTAAAAATAGAACAATGGTACTTAAAAAAAATCTAGGCTTTGCATCATAGTCTAGTTAAGGAAGCCATTCCACATGGCCAACCATAGCTTGAATCCTGACACTGGTTGCTTGAAAAACACATCAGACATGAATGCATGCATGCTGATATCCTGACAAGTTGGAGAAATGGAAGAGGGTAGAGAATGGATTGGTACATAATCACACCTTAATGAGGGGGCAGGTGCTTTCTCCAATCTTCTCCCCATTTTTCACTCTCCTTCTCACTCTCTCTGTGTGTACTTACTCACTGGCAATTAAAACAAAAAGAATTCTTAATTGCTTTATTGACAAATAGAGACAGCAAGTGAGATTTTAAGTTTTACTAAGAATTAGGTAATTTTATCTTATTTAAAAAATTAATAATAACATAAATTCAGATGTGCAAGAAAGATCAGTATGCTTTTCCATGAACCAAGTGTTTTAAACTACACCCAATTTTGCATCCTGACAGGAAGTTACACTCCATTTATTCTTGCTGTCTGCTAGGATGTTATCAATTAAATCAAAAATTTCTAAATTCTTAATTTCACTCATTTGCTGATTTATTCCAGAACTTACTAGGCCAAATTTATATGTCAGGCATTATCTTAGGTTCTGGAGATACAATGATAAATGTAGCAGATATACATATTCTTGATATTATGGGTTTTATACTTAATATGGTAAAATATGTTGAATAAGTCACTATTATCATAAAAGCTATGGATGGACTGCTCTATAATAATAGATAGGAATGTTATCTACTCATGAAGTTGAAACATAATCAGAGAACATAGTGAAAGGGTAAGGTTTAGGCCGATAGATATATTCATGAGATAATAGGTGATATCCTTATCATTTTATAACACAATGCAGTTATAATCTGAAACTGTCCTAAATCAGATCTTCTTGAAGATTTCTTCTACTTCATGAGAACCAGCAGTTAGCGTAATGCTATGTTGCTGGACTCCCACGTAGTCAACCGTAGTTCGCGTCCTGGACCCGGTGGCTTAAAACTCACGCTGGGCAGGTGTGCGTGCGTGCCCAAGATCCCGAGAGGAGAATGGAGGAGAAGGGATTGCGGCGTGACCATCCCCCCTGGGGGGTGATTTCTCGCTTTCTATCTCTCTGTCTCTCTCTGTCTGTCTGGCGAGTGCACGTGCTCTATAGTGACAAAACCTCTCCAAAAAAAAAAAAAATATTTCTTCTACTTCATAAAGAGAATATTGCTCCTCACTCATCAATTACAGAATATAAATATAGGAAAAGAAATAGAAAAAAAAAACAAATTTTATTTTAAAAATTCTGTATCTTGCAGATATGTTCATGGTTTGTATTGATCTTAATTGTTTTTCATGTTTTTATAGCTAGAATTTTTCTTTTGTAATCAAAACTGAAATTCTGTTTTGATTAACTCAACTCATATCTATAGAGAAATATCTGATATGGGAGTTAGATGATTGGTCAGCAAATAGTCACTTCTTTCTAATTATGAATAGAGTATAATTTCCACTTCCTTTAGTGCTGTACCTGACCGTGACACACTTATTTGCTCAGTGGAATGTTGGTGGCTGCAATCTGAGCAGAAAGCTACATGTTTTGGTTTGACCCTGATGCTACAATGATCTGCCATGAAAAAAATACACCCTCTCATCTTTTTTTTTGAAGAGGTTTTTTTGCTATAGGGTGCGTGTGCTCACCAGACAGAGAGAGACAGAGAGACAGAAAGTGAGGAATCACCCCCCCCAGGGGGGGTGGCCACGCCACAATCCCTTCTCCTCCATTCTCGTCTCAGGATCTTGGGCACGCACACACACGCACCCGGTGTGAGTTTTAAGCCATTGGATCCGGGATGCGACCGCGGTCGACTACATGGGAGTCCAGCAACATACCCATTACGCTAACTGTTGGTCCCACATCCTCTCATCTTTAATCTCTCTCCTGGAACCAAGTCAGCTGAGCTTCTGCCTACAGCAACACTGTCAGATGAGCCCTTCCTACACCTGCTAAACTGTAGTCAATCTGTCCATCTTTTAAGCATCAGAATCAGAGGGTTTTTTTGTTTTGTTTTTTTTTTGAGAGATTTTCACTGTAGGGCGCGTGCGCTCTCCAGACAGACAGAGAGAGACATAGAGACAGAAAGCGAGAAATCACCCCCCAGCGGGGATGGTCATGCCGCAATCCCTTCTCCTCCATTCTCCTCTCGGGATCTTGGGCACACATGCACACGCGCCCGGCGTGAGTTTTTTAAGCCACCGGGTCCAGGATACGAACCGCGGTCGACCACGTGGGAGTCCAGCGACATAGCCATTACGCTAACTACTGGCTCCCTTGAGTTTAGATTATTTTTGGTATTAACAGACTAATTCATTTAGCAATGATTAATTTGTTGGCCTTGTCTTCTGATATTAAGGACAGAATTTTCCCTGGGTGTTGCTTGTAATGTGATTAGCACTGAGTATATATATATATATTTTTTTTTTCTTTTAAACCACATTAGTGTCTGTTAAATGTTTTTATTTTCCTTTTCCTCCCTGATTTCCTCCCTCCCGTTCTTCACTGCCTACCCTCCTCCCACACTGTCTCTAGTATCCACAGCTGCTATCTATGCCTTTATATCTTCTAGTCTTTCAATTTCTGCCATAGAGTGTAGATATTTGGTATATATTAAGTATTGACATACAATGCTTCTCTTTCATAGTCTCACTTGCTTCACTCAGCATTAAATCTTTCATATTCATCCATTTTCCATCAAATTCCAACATCTCATTTTTCATGGCTGAGTAGTATTCCATAGTGTATATGTGCCACACTTTTTCTATTCATTCATCTATTCTTGGACATTTGGGTTAATTCCATGTCTTAGCAATTGTGAATAATGCCACAGTAAAATAGATGTGCAAGTGTTTTTCTGATTGAGTGTATTACTATCCTTTGGGTGGATACCAGGAATGGAAATGCTGCATCATATGGTAGTTCTAATTGCAGGTTTCCGAGGAACCTCCACATTGTTCTCAACAGTGGCTGCACTCATTTACACTTCCTCAATAGCGAAGTAGCTCTATTGTACTTTAAGATTCTTCATAGTGACTTAATGTCTGTGGTAAGCTGGACCAAAAAGGCAACTTACAGATAAGGTGTGTAACACTGTTACTGGCCGGATTAAGGGGATGTCATAGATTTCACAGCTAACCAACTCTTTCAGTTAAATACCATTTACATAAAAAATTCAGTATTTTTAAATAATAGTCACGTAAATTATGTATTTGATAGATTAATTAACTTTAAACATTACAGTAAATAATGTGATAAAACTATTCTTTTTTTTGCCAAAGGGTCCATGGACTAGTCAGAGAGAGTGAGAAAGAGAAAGCAGTATTGCAATGGGGCATTGTCATGCCTCAATTCTTTCCCTCTATTTCTACATCCTGTCAAGATATTGGCAACACATACACATCTATCCAGCATGGTTTTCAAGCCACTGTGGTCAGGATTTGAATGGTGGTCAGCCATGTGGCATCTAGCTCGCTGTGCACTGTGCTTAATGGCTGCACCGGAGGGACAACCCTGTGATAAAGTTAATGCTTTGTTCAGATAAAACAGTAGCTATAGGTTAGGTACTAGAAATCACAGCTAATTCTCTCTCTGTCTTTTTTTCTTTTAATTTTGCCAGAGCACATGTGTGCTCGATAGAAAAAGAGAGAGAGAGAGAGAGAGAGAGAGAGAGAGAGAGAGAGAGAGAGAAAAGAGATAGAGAGATAGAGAGATAACAACCCCATGGATCATAGTCCCATTGTAATCCCTTTTCCATTTCCCCCTCCTTTTAGGATTTTGGGCATGCATGGCTATATGCCCAGTGTTTTCAAGCTACAGGGTCTGCAACTCAACCTATAGAGTTGTCCATTTGGGATTCAGCCACCTTAACTACCATGACACCCTCTGACTCATTAATTCAATAAGATATACCAAAAGTTTCTGTTTACTTCTACTTGCTTATTGATTTGTTCAGTATGATTAGCATTCTACTCCAGTGGAGTTTTTCATTAGTTTTAAGCTCTTGAGATGAAATAATAACTGTTAACATTTCTTTGTAGAGTCGAATTGATGTGTATTTGTCATATAACCCAGCGGGATCCTCTCTTCAAAATGTTTTGCACTATAAGCAGGTAGGGTGATAATATCTTTCTACATTACTATAGAGCATGCATAGATTAGTATCTAGAAATCTTATTAGTATTATTTACAAATATAAATGAAAAGATAAAATTATTGATGTTATAAAGGATTTGTCCTAATAGAAAAGGAGCACAGGTTTTATCAGCAGTTTTTTCTCCTTTTGTTGACAGTTCAGTCTTTGTCACCTGGAGAAACTATACTATTAATTCTTCAGGTCACTTCAGATTAAATTTAAATAAAAATTAATATAAAACAAAAGAACTGTAAAAACTATAAAAATGGAAATTTTCTTAGCTGATTTTATTTATCTTAATTTTACTAGAGAAATAGATAAAATCCTATAATGCCCGATTTACTTATTTCAAAAATAAGTGTCATTTCTGCAGGCCACCTCAAGTCTTTCAATCATAAATGAAGACAAGATACTTGTTCAGAGTATTAAAGCAAGAAACTACAGGGCAGATAACTCACCAATTTCAAAGTATTTAAGTATTCATTCATGAAGACTATTTCACTCATATGATATGTGAACTTACACTAAGTTCATACATTGAACACTTTTGTGAGTCTGTTTCCCAAAGACAATCTCTGCCTTGACTTTCTAGGAGAAAGGGAAGACCAACGGAGCTCCTAGCAGGCAAGAATATGCCACCAAGGCTTCTCTGAAGACCGTGAAGGTTATCACATGCCTGCTGAGTTTCCTAGACATGAACCAGAGTCATAGTCAAGGATTAAGTAATTTTCAAGCTCTTTTAGCATAGAATTCCCAGGCCCTTCTTATAACATGTAAGGAAGGCCATAATTTAACTTTTAGTCCTTTGGTATTCAAACATGTTTTTGAACTGCAAATATATTTTAGGAAAATTATCCTGTAGTGACAAGTAGAGAAATACCTTCTCTTTTCAAACATGACCTGGACCAAGTTACACATTTCCTGAGTCCACTTCCCCTTGGATAAAATAATGATAATACTGCTTATTCTACTGACCTCACAAATCGATCATGTAGATGCAATACCATAAGAGGTGGGCAATAGCTCTGAAAACTGTCAAACACTATCCAAATAATAGGCAAAGTTAGAATCTATAAAAAATACTGTTCAAAATTTGACTCTTTCTTGTTCTAGTCAGCAAGTTATAAAGGCCTATAATTCTGGTAATTTTTTACAGTAAAACAGCAATCTGAATGAATACATTTGGATTCAGATAGGAGTATTTTAAGTGTACTTGATTATCCTTTATGTTCATATAATGGACCTAAATAATATAGTTGGTGGTTTTGTGACCAGAACATATTTATATTTTTCTGCTGATAACTGATGAAAGAGATGCCTATGTCCTCCACCACCACTCCTACAAACCCAGAACAAAACAAAATACTGGAAACTTCGGGAAAGTGACTTAGAAAGAATGGTAAGAGACAAAATGGTCCACACTCATCCATCCAGACAAAGCAATGTTTAGTGATTCATGAAGTTATAAATATTTCATTTAAATTCAATTCCTATTCAATATTTAGGTAATTTGCTTTTTTTCAATCAAGTGTTTTTTAAGCTTTTCCAGAATGAGCATTTAGCAGATTCAGAGGCTGAAGTAATCTTTCGTCCCTTGCCATCATGTACAAGATCCATGGGCATCTAGCTATTTTCCTACTAGATCAAAATACTGTTATCACAGATTTGTCCTCTGAACCCAGATGCTTTGACTTAAATGCTCACCTCACTATTTCCTACCTCTATAACCTTGGGCAAATTACTTAAGCAGCTCTGAGCCTCTGATGCCTCATCTTTAATGGAGGCAATAGAGTGCCTATCTCTGATACACTTGGTGAGGATTAAAGGAGAAATCGAGTAAAAGTCCAGTGGACAGGAAGTGCCAGTATTAGCTTCTATTACTTGTACTTCTGTTCCCTCCTGCTTAAATGGTGTGGAGCCTAAATTACAATACACAGAGAGATAAGAGAAGTATTTAGTCAGACTAGATACTTCTGCAGGTACCATGAATGTCTTAGAGCTGGCAAAACCAAGGACATCAACACTGGGCACACTGGAAAGCATTGGCAATCCTCAGGTGCATTTTGCCCTAACTTGTACTTGTACAGTGAAAATTGGGGTTAGTAAGACCACAGTAAACGTAGAAGGCTTAAGAAATCACTGAGACAAATGCTTATAGTTAAAATGAGATGAGACACTTACATTTTCTGTATTCGTAAGAATTTGTTTTTTTAGTCATTAATTTTCATTTCTCATTTAGGTTTATTGTAATTTTTTTTGTAGCTATGCCTCAAGTAAAGACAAAAGTTTAGACATCTAGTTTACTTTGTCTCTTTTCTTTCTTACTTTAAGGCAGCTACGGAAACTAAGGAAATACTTCGAGCTTATGATTTTGGAAGTTCTGCCCAGAACATGAAACATTATAACCAGGTAAGTTTTTTAATAATAATAAGAAAGAAAGTTAATAGTTTTTAAAGGACCCAGAAAGTTGCCCCTAAATGTTTATACTCAAAGCATTTTACATTTCATTGCTGTAGCCATTTTACATTCTATGTCAAACTAGGGATACAGTCTAGCAGAAATCACTTCCAGAATAGGCAACAGGCATTCAAATGGGCTTGGCAGGCACAGCAAGATGGCAGCTTCTTCTGATTCCCCAGAGGAAATGTTGTGTTTTCAGGGATAGTGTATTCTTCCTTTGAAACATTAACTTATCATTATATAGCGCTACTTTTGGAGTGGACTGAAGTGTGATATTCTTTTCCTCTGTCATTTGCTTTTAGCCCACTCCTCCCAAGTACAATGTGAAGACCTTGAAAGTGAGGACTGCAACATGGAACAGTCTAAGTGACGTGTGGGCTAACCCCAGGGATGCTAAAATCCTACTGTCTCAAATTCCTAATCTCGTTTACAGCGACACACTGTGCTTTTACCAACATATAGATTTTGTCTTGGGAAAAAATGCAACTTGGGATATTTATTATAAAATTATTCAAATCATGAAGCATACTCTCTAAGGACACAAGAGTTCTGTATCCCTAAGTTCTTATTCTTACTAACATGTATTCTCTTCTAGAGTAATCATACCGATTTCTTCTCTTTCAAAACAGAATTAATAAAGATAATCATAATCTTTCTATTCTTTGAAATGAATCCAGGGAAATAAATTATATTCCTTAGCCATGTTATTACTATGATTTTTTAACTCATCATAAACATTCTCTATAAATTCCTTTTTTGCTAAAAGCAATCTATCAATTATGTCATGTTAATTCTACTTCTAAATACCTCCAGTTTATCTACTTTCTCCATGCTCAATGTACGTATCTTGTAAAGTTAGCTCACTTATTGCCTGAATTCCTATTCAAATCTCCAAATTTCTTGTTCCACATCTATTTTTAGACCATATATGCTGAAATAAAGAATGTATGTTAAAGTAATTTTAATAAAATACCTATATAATATTGCCACTTCATTATTTAAAACACTTTTGTGACTTGATGGGACTCTAATGATGGGAAACAAATTCTTTGTATAACCTAAATGTCCTTATGTCTTTCAGAACCTTGTGGTCACCAATACATGCATGTACACACACACACACACACACACACACACAAACACAGAGACCTTGGTGCCACATTTTCCAAAATATCAAAGAAGTATACAAACCTTCAATATTTTATGGATTAAGTAGGTTGGAGGCAGCATTACTTTGTGGGGAAAATATTGCGTATATTTTTGAGATAGATGAACACCTTGGTCATCCTTCAAGTAGTATTACTGTTATTATTACAGGACCCTAAAGCTGGCACCAGGTAGCTCTGACCATAAGACCCATCTATTGGTTCTGTAAAAGTGACTTCTGAGTGACCTTTTGACATAGAAGATTACATACTTCTTTGGACACCAGCCTAGGCCATGGAAGCCATGGAGTAATGGTTATGTAGCTGGACTCCCTGACTGAACACTAACAATTACTTCTTTTCCTTTCACCAATCATGTTTGCCAACATCCCCAGGTTTTTTTTTTCCCCCTTCTAGTCCTTAAAAACTCCTAAACCCCTTCAACTGCAGAGATAAATTTGAGTTGTAACTCTTGCCTCTTTGCTAAGCTGCTCTCTGAATTAAAGCCCTTCCCTCCTTGCAAACTTGTATCTGTTATTGGCAAAGTGAGAGACGGGTAAACAAACCTGCATTTAGTAACTGTCTTATCTCTAAAAAATCTTAGATTAATCCAAAATAATAAAAGGTTTTCCTCTCTTTTTTAGAGAGAGAAATTTTTGCTATAAGGTGCATGTGATTGCTGGACAGACAGAGAGACAGAAAGAGAGAAATCACCCCTCAGGGAGGATGGCCACACTGCAGTCTTTCTCCTCCATTCTCTTCTTGGGATATGGGGCAAACCTGCACATGTGCCCAGCATGAGCTTTAAACTGCCTGTTCCAAGATTTGAAACGCTGTGGAGCAGAAGGTGCCTGAGACTTGTATCAACAGGGCAGTTGCAGAACGGGAGCAGAGAGGTGATGTCAGCCTGGCTCTGCACATGCTTGGCCCTGTTTTCTGTTTTGTGGGGTTTAAAACATACCCGTAGTAGCTTCCCTGCCTGGACCCTGTGGACCATCTTTTTACCACCATCCCTCTTGCCTCGGCACATCTTCAGGAAGTGCCACCTGGCTCTGCCCTCCCCTTGGTCACGTGGCACAGCCTGTAACAGTGAGGCTCAGGGTTAACACCCTGGCTGTGGCACCATCTGAAGGCCGCTCGACCTCTGCATGTCTCTGTTTCCTCCTCTCTAAAACTGTCTGCCTTGAGACCAAGTGGTGGCACAGTAGTAACACAACTGTACCCATCTGTGTAAGGTTCTTGGTTTGTGTCCAGGCACCTCCCTAAACTTGCCAGATGTGCCCGTGGCCCTGGTTGGCTGGCTGGTTGGCTGGCTGAGAGTTGGGGTGGATGAGGCATGGAGATTCTGTTTAGGGGGCACCCCCATCTGTGTTTCATGGAAGAAATAAGTAAATTGGAACACACACACACACACACACACACACACAAACACAGAGACCTTGGTGCCACATTTTCCAAAATATCAAAGAAGTATACAAACCTTCAATATTTTATGGATTAAGTAGGTTGGAGGCAGCATTACTTTGTGGGGAAAATATTGCGTATATTTTTGAGATAGATGAACACCTTGGTCATCCTTCAAGTAGTATTACTGTTATTATTACAGGACCCTAAAGCTGGCACCAGGTAGCTCTGACCATAAGACCCATCTATTGGTTCTGTAAAAGTGACTTCTGAGTGACCTTTTGACATAGAAGATTACATACTTCTTTGGACACCAGCCTAGGCCATGGAAGCCATGGAGTAATGGTTATGTAGCTGGACTCCCTGACTGAACACTAACAATTACTTCTTTTCCTTTCACCAATCATGTTTGCCAACATCCCCAGGTTTTTTTTTTCCCCCTTCTAGTCCTTAAAAACTCCTAAACCCCTTCAACTGCAGAGATAAATTTGAGTTGTAACTCTTGCCTCTTTGCTAAGCTGCTCTCTGAATTAAAGCCCTTCCCTCCTTGCAAACTTGTATCTGTTATTGGCAAAGTGAGAGACGGGTAAACAAACCTGCATTTAGTAACTGTCTTATCTCTAAAAAATCTTAGATTAATCCAAAATAATAAAAGGTTTTCCTCTCTTTTTTAGAGAGAGAAATTTTTGCTATAAGGTGCATGTGATTGCTGGACAGACAGAGAGACAGAAAGAGAGAAATCACCCCTCAGGGAGGATGGCCACACTGCAGTCTTTCTCCTCCATTCTCTTCTTGGGATATGGGGCAAACCTGCACATGTGCCCAGCATGAGCTTTAAACTGCCTGTTCCAAGATTTGAAACGCTGTGGAGTATGTGGGAGTCCAGCCACATAACCATTATGCCATCTGTTGATCCCTTCATCTTTTTTTTTTAAAATATCTATATTTTGCTTCTCTAGGTGTTAAATTTAGGTCTTGGATTCACTTAAATAACTATTTTTAATGCTTTATTTAAGTAAATGTTTTTATATACCATGAGATACGGAACAAAAGTTTACATTTTTACATATGGATCTCTAATTATTCCAATATCATTCTAAAAAACAATATCCTTTCTCCTCTTACCTATCTTTGGACATTTGTCAAAACCAGTTCTCCACTTATGTGTGGGGCTATCTCTGGATTCTGTATTCTGTCTTACTTATCAGTTTGTATATTTACTTCAAATACCATAGTTTCTTGATTTTTGTAACTTTATATTATTTTTGAGAATAAGGTAGCATTGGTGCCAACCTTACTCTTCTTTCAAAAAGTGGGTTTGACTCTTCTAGGTTCTTTCCATAGCCATAGGACTTTTAGAATCAATTTTCTGATTACTACCAAACATTCTGCTGTAAATTTTATTGGAATTTCTTTTAATCTGTATATCAATATAGATTAAATTGATGAAACTGACGTTTCATCAATAATGAGTCTTACAACTCATGAACATGGTATATTTCTCCACTCATTTTGTAGTTTTTTTTTTTTTTTTTTTTTGGGGGTTTTTTTTTTTTTTTTTTGAGAGGTTTTCGCTATAGGGCGAGTGTGCTCGCCAGTCAGAGAGAGAGAGAGACAGAAAGCAAGAAATCACCCCCTGGGGGGATGGCCATGCCGCAATCCCTTCTCTTCCATTCTCCTCTCGGGATCTTGGGCATGCACGCACATTCGCCCAGCATGAGTTTAAGCCACCAGATCCGGGACTCGAACCGCGGTCGACTGCATGGGAGTCCAGCGACATAGCCATTACGCTAACTGCTGGTCCCTCATTTTGTAGTTCTTTATCCTCTTAACACTACTATGCACTTTACTGTGTATAGGTCTTACATATCTTTTGTCAATATATCCCTAAATGTTTTATTTCGTGTAATGCTAATGTAAATGATACTGACTTCTCAATTTCAACTGCTGATTGTTCATTGGTTGTATAGAGGAGTACAATTGATATTTCTATACCGATTTTAGTTTCCTGAAATCCTGCCATACTTATTTTCTGGTTCTATTAGTTTTTGGGTAAATTTTATTGGATTTTCTACATTGATCAGAAATCAACACACTTATTTTGTAAATGATAAACAATGCAAGTCTCTCATAGTTCTGTAGACATGGAAATCGCATATCAAGGCACAAGCAAATTTAGGTGTTGGTTAAAACCTTCCTGGTTTGTAAATGGTATCTTCTAGCTGTGTCCTTATATGGAAATATGGGAAAACAAGCTCTTTTCCCTTGTTAGAGTACACTAATGCCAGTCATAGAGTGTGGTCTTGATAAACTAATAACTTCCCAGCACCCCAACTCCTAATAAAATCATTTCAGGGGTTCGAAGGGCAAGAAAAACACTTTAAACCATAGCAGGATGTGAGCGTTAGAGGTAATTATTTTTCATATTCAAAAAATAAACACTGTTCTTTGGTCAAATCCCCAACTCAAGAAGAAGCTAACATTATTTATTAGCAGTAAAGAGGATGATAGTAATTAACACCAATTGAGAGCTTAACTACATGGCATGTACTTAAAAGTGTGTCATATGTATTAGCTCATCACATGACTTTAAAGGAAAAAAGGAATCCGCAAGAATATTTGTAGAACTTGAAAAAAAATCACACCACCAAAGTTTTAAGGTGACAAAAGAAAACTCCATATATGATGGCCAAACATCAAGCAACTGTGGGAAGATTATGCAAAAATTCTCGGGCTTTAATGATGGCAGAAAGAATATAAGACTAATTGTTGCTTCAAGCTCAAATAACGACTGCAAAATAATTACTAAGGTTTAGAAATCCTTGTTTCTGTCACTGGTTTCTAATATGTAATTTTTTGCAAGACTGAGTAAATAGAACTTCCAGAGGAATGTACTGATGATGTTAGCTTCTTTTTTTCTTCCACTATGGTGGTCTTATTGGAGTCATAGGACAAAAAACACATATAGGTGGGACAATTTTTACTCT